AATAGCAATCTTTCTGGATTATATCACAGCAACGACTCTCTGTCAAGCACTGGGGAAATCAGGAGATTCACGCGATTGAAATGAGTATAAAAATTTATTGCCGGCTTAAGCTCTGTGCAAGAATCTGGCCAACTAACAGTCAAGGGAAATGAGCGGGAGATAAGAAAGTCATTCAAGGTGGGCTGGACTTAGATCTCTTGTGGGCACTCAGGGACTCGTGACTGATGACACATTTCACCCCTCCCTTGGGCTCAGCCTGGTTATCTCCTACACCAGAGGTCTCCAAACTTGGGCAGCCTTATGACTTGTGGACTTTAACTCCCAGAATTTTCCAGCCAGCATGGAGAATTCTAGGAGTTGAAGTCCACAAGTCTTAAAGTTGCCAAGTTTGGGGACCCCTGTCCTACACCCTCTTTCATTCTCTTCCCCAGCTCCCTTTTTAAAAAAAAATAGTAAGAGAGGAAAATTCAGATAGTCAGTCCTTGACTTACAACTACAATTGAGCTCAAAAGTTCTGCTGCTAAACAAGACAGTTGTTAAATGAGTTTTGCCTCATTTTATTACCTTTCTTGTCACAGATGATAAGTGAATTGCAGCAGTTGTTCTGTTAGAAACACGGTTTTTAAGTGAATCTGGTTTCCCCATTAATTTAGTTGGTCAGAAGATGGCAAAAGATGACACTTTTTGGGACACTGCTAACGTCATAAATATGAGTCAGTGGCCAAGCGTCTGAATTTTGATCACATGATTATGGGGATACAGCAATGGTTGTAAGTGTGAAAAATGGCCATAGGTCACTTTTTAAAGTGCTATTGTAAATTTGAATGGTTACTAAATGAATAGTTAGAAGCTGAGGACTACCTATATACATAGGGCTCTAACCAAAGAGAATGGCCTGGCTGGGAGGTGAAGATTGCCCAGAGGGTAGTTCTGAAAAATTCCACAGAGGTCTGCTTGCATTGCTTGATAAGGAACCATTGGATTAAAAAAAAAAAACCAACACACCAGGTGTCATGGCTGCTAACTCTCAGCATGCATCTGTTCTAGCCAACTTTAAGAAAACGTCCAGTAGCTGCCAATGGTCAAACTGGCTCCCACTTCAAAATGAGCATCTTCTGATATCTGTCACCACCAGAGGTGGTATTCAGCAGGTTCTGACCAGTTCTGGAGAACCGGTAGCAGAAATTTTGAGTAGTTTGGAGAATCAGCCAATACCACCCCTGACTGACCCCACCCCCATCTATTCTCTGCCTCCCGAGTCCCAGCTGATTGGCTGGGTCTTCTTTGGTTGCCCTGCACAGGAGAACGGAGCTGGAAAGTAGGTTAGTGGGGTGGGGAGGGAATGGGGATTTTACAGTTATCCTTCCCCTGCCACGCCCACCAAGCCACGCCCACTGAACCGGTAGTAAAAAAAATTGAATCCCATCACTGGTCACCACCATCACTATGTTTTTCTTTTAGGATGTCTTTTGTGCATTATCCTGTTTTGTTTTTTTTATGAGGCAGAGAAAAATAACTGGGAATACGTCCCATACACATATTCTTGCAATCATGAATTCTTGGCCCTGAATTTCTCTGGGAGGGTCTGTTTAACTAGGAATGGTAACAGGAAGGGGCCATTTTGGCAGTTGCTATTATTCTGGTTCATCCCAGGGTTCTTGTCCACCAAACAAATCATCGTATGCCTCAGTGAAATATGTGAATCCAGATTAATTCAAATTTCTGAATAAGTCTTGAATCATTTAGCAGCCCTTTATTTGAGCTATGGGAACCATAGATGGTAAAAAGGTTCTCCATTATCAGAAGACTAGAGGTTGGATGGAACAAACATTTCCTCTAATAAGTTTGATGCCAAGTTGTAACTGACAAATTTACCCCCCAGATCTCTTTTTGCCCCTACATGTTTTGCTTATGAAAGTAGGGAACCAAAATGTAAAAAAAAGAATAATATTTTAGCCTGGTGCTTCAGTATATTATGGTCAGTCTTATGATCTGGAATTCATTCATTCATACACTCACTCACTCTTTTATCTAATATTAATTTATTAATTAAAAAATAGAGCATGCAAGAGGACCCGGGAGTTATAATAACAGAAAAAAGAGTTGGAAGGGACCTTGGAGGTCTTCTAGTCTAACCCCCTGCTCAAGCAGGAAACCCTATACCATTTCAGACAAATAGCTGTCTAGTCACTTCTTAAAATCTCTAGTAATTGTTCTGTCAGAAAATTTCTCATTCATTCAAGGCTCGTTCTCGCCTCGATTAGTTTCCACCCATTGCTTTGCGTCCTGCCTTCAGGTACTTTGGATAATAAGTTGCCCCGTTCTTCTTTGTGGCAGATATTGGCACATTCCTATCATGTCACCTCTAGTGCCACTCCTAGAATGATTGGTGGGTGACCAAGGTTGATAATTTGCCTTCTAGCTCTTGGTATTTAATCATTAGCTGTGACCCCCATAACACGCATTTTGTGAATATGTCAAAAAAGAAAAAAAAATCCATCCCAGGAAGCCATTTTGAGAGGATGCCCATAAAAAGCTCTTCGAATTCCAGATATGGTCACTGACCAGAAATGATTGTCTAAAATTCATTCACCTACTCTGGTTGAATAAAAAAACAAACAAACAAACCTGGGTTGGCTGATGGAGGACTTAATGGTCTTCTGCTAAACCCTGATGGAGCCGAATTGCCAACTCTGTGCTGATAGAAGTCCTTGATGGAAAATGGCTGATTCCTGCCTTAGGCCTTTAGGAGGAGGTGGGTTTAATATGTCTAGTTTAATAATCTACATCCTGTTTTTTAACACACACAAACAGTGCAGATGGATAGGAAGTTGCCCAGACAGGTTGAGTGAGATTGTAGCTACTGGTGGAGAAATTGCTATTATTTATTATTAACTCAACATTTAAGATTCTCAATGTGGGGGTATACATATAAGACTGATCTTTATCCCCAGTAGGGTATTTCCAGGATGTATATTTTCCACTCTCTTTGTTTTGCTTAATATTTTGCTTTCTTAGGAGGGGGAAGGAGAAGGCATAAACGTCTGTTGTTTCGGTATGGAATCAGGAGGGGAAGAGAGCTACAGGTGATGATAGTTAGTGCCTTGAGCAAAAAAAGAATAAAGCAGAACCTGCCAGACATTTTGATAGAGGATAAGCGGAATGTGTACAAATGCTATGCTGATGGGAAAGGATGGATATGTGGATGAACAGAAGGCTTGATATTAATTACAAATGAAGTTAGGCAGTGCCATTTTTTTTGCATTTCCAGCCCCCCACAACAGTTTCAATATCAGTTTCATGGAAGAATTGCTACTGATTTCTGTCAAAGAAGAGTGCACAGAGCTTTAAGTGGGAATATTCTGTTTTCCACTGTACAATCATCTCTCTGTCAGGATTCCAGCAATCGCTCTAATTAAATCATGATTCTCGAGCCAAACTTCAAAAAACTTCAAAGGACTCATTAGAGGCAACATACCGGCATTGCCCTGTATGAAGCCAACTCTGGCATACGTAATTTACAGTCACCTGTCACCCTGTTTCCCCCCCGTCTCCCCTGGGTGCGTCATAAATCAGATTCTCCAATTGAGCATGTTCACGGGCTGGGTGTCATCATTCATGTTCTCGAATTAAATATTTTCACGGGCAAAAGCTGTGGTATTTTAGTAACAATCTTTTAAAGAGAAGAGTTGGAATGTGCTTTCGCTTTCAACTGCTACACTGCTCTTCCAGATTCCCCCCCCCTTTTTTTAATGGCAACTACTAAAACAGGCATAGGAATGTTTTATGAGTTGACACTCTCTGTGTCAAAACTCTTCCTTGTGTCAATTATTTCCTTAAATAAGAAAAAGAATCAGGACAAAACCCTTTCTGCATCTTGCCTAGTTTTAAGGATTAGCATCAACCTTGAAAACACACTCAGGTTCTTTTCTGTCCTATCCTATACTGAGCCAAGTAAAATGTTGAGTTTCTTTCTTAACCTCTCTCTTCTTTTTCTTCCTTCCCCATTCCCAAGTTCTACATTCCTTCATAAAAGCAGTTCTAAAATTGTGGAAACATCTACGTGATAAATTCTCAGACAGGTCCATTTTTGCTCTACCTAGTTTTCATAGAACTGTAGGCTCCATGGTGCTCTCTGAGCTTGGTGATTTTCTTGCAGATGTTTCATTATCAAATTAGGCAGCAGCACCAGGGCAAGGAAACCACCAAACTCAGAGAGCACCAAGGACCCCATATAGGTCAACTTTGAGCTACAAATATTCTCTTCTTGAGCCCTGGTGGCGCAGTGGTTAGAATGCAGTGCTGCAGGCAAGCTCTGCCTACAACCCAGAGTTCGATCCTGACTGGCTCACAGTTGACTCAGCCTTCCATTCTTCTGAGTCCTCATCAGTCCTTATTGGTAAAATGAGGATCAGATTGTTGCTGACATTGTAAACTGCTCAGAGAGTGCTGTAAAGCACTATGGGGTGGTATCAGGGGTAGGATTCTACTGGTTCAGACCAGTTCGGGCAAACTGGATGTTAAGTTTTGATCTGGTTCGCCGAACTGGTATTTCAACCCACCAGCTGGCCCCGCCCACCCCGTCCCTCCCAGGAGTCTCCACGTGGCCCATTTTCAGTGCAGATAAGTGCAGGGTCCGCACAGAGGCTCTGGGAGGGGGGAAAACTGGGCTTCTGGAAGTAAGGAAATGGGTCTGTTTCCGGCTTCCAGAGGGCCTCCAGAGCCTGGGGAGGCTGTTTTCACTCTCCCAGAGGCCCGGGGGAAGCCTTCAGACCCTTGGGAATGTGAAAAATGGCCCTCCCAGAAGTTCCGGTAGGCCACGCCCACCATGGCTACGCCCACCCAGAAACTGGGCAGCGAACTGGTTGCTGGGATTTTTTTAATCCCACCTCTGGGCGGTATATAAGTCTAAGTGCTATTAATATTTTCATAGATCTCCTGAGTTTTTCTAAACTAACTGTATTAGAAGGAGCTTTTGAAATAAGTTCTTTGCTTCCTAGAAAAAAAGAAGCCTCCAAAAGGTAAGCTTCTCCATGACTGGAAAGGACGGAGGAATGCCATTCATCTCACCAATGAGTACACGGTGGAAACGCTTGTGGTGGCAGATGCTGACATGGTCCAATATCATGGGATTGATGCGGCTCAAAGATTCATCCTTACTGTGATGAACATGGTAAGTAGAACGCGATGTGCCTCTATCTGCCCTTCAGAAAATAATAATAATACATTTCATGATCATGAATGTATTTTGAAAAGTCATCGGAACTTTCTTTTATGAAAGGCAGAAAGCATTCTGATAGGAAATCTCCATGTAGATAAAATATAGAACAAAATGTAGAACATAGGATAATCAAGTTGAAAGGGACCTAGGCAATCTTCTAGTCTAACTTCCTGCTCAAGCTGGAGACCTTGTACCATTTTGGACAAATAGCTATCCAGACTCTTCTTAAAAATCTCCAGTGATGGAGCAACCACAACTTCTGGAGGCAAGCCATTCCACTGATAATTGTTCTTACTGTCAGGAAATTTCTCCTCGGTTCTAGGTTGGATCTCTCTTTAATGATCTTCCACACATTACTTTTTTTGTCCTTCTCTGAAGTACTTTGGATAAAGAAAGTAGCTAAAGGACACGAGAGCTTCCTCTATTATTCAAAACAAGCCCATTGCTTATACTGATAATTGAGGGTAAGCATCACTATGTTTTAATGTGGAAGAATGGAAACCCAACAGGAATCTTGTTCCTCTCTAGGTTGCTTGCTTTCTTGCAGACATTTCATTACCCAAATTAAGTAATATCATCAGTGCTGGGGTTACCTAGTTTGGGTAATGAAATGTCTATGAGAAAACAACCAAGCTCAGAGAACCCCAAGGACCCCTCATTTCGACCTGGAGCTACAATATTCTCCTTTAGTGAAAACCCTATAAGGATGAGTTATGACAGAATAGAATAGAATAGAATAGAACAGAACAGAACAGAACAGAACAGAACAGAACAGAACAGAATAGAATAGAATAGAATAGAATAGAATACTTTATTGGCCAAGTGTGATTGGACACACAAGGAATTTGTCTTGGTGCAAATGCTCTTAGTGTACATCAAAGAAAAGATACATTCTTCAAGAGTCAAGAATCATAAGGTACAACACTTAATAATAGTCATAGGGTACAATAATCAATCAGGTCATACTAGGAAACAGTCAATAAAAATCATTAGGACACAAGCAACAAGGTTACAGTCATACAGTCACAAGGAGATGAGTGAAAGGAAGGATGGGAGGATTAATAGTAATAGTAATGCAGACTTAGTAAATAGTTTGACAGTGTTGAGGGGAAAAACTGTCCTTAGCACATACAATTCAGCAATTGTGGATTGTTCAACCAAATATGCCTTACTTTGAGGTGTGAAAATCTTGCCATTGAATTTTGCAGATAGAAATTGTATCAAAAGGGCTCCAAACCGTCTCCTTTTTTAACGGCCAGCTCAATTCTAAACCAGTGGTAGTGCCATATTCATTTCCCCATCCAGACACATGACTGCTATTCGTTTCTACTGAAAATCCCCCTCATAAAGCACTGGGTTAGAACAAATGTGGTTGGTTTTCATCCATCTTTTAGTGGGAGAAACAGCTCTCTGAACAAGATGGATTACAGCACAGTAGAATAGTGGACTCAAGCATTGCTACCTACAGTTGTAATATCGTCTATGTTGCTGGTGAAAATCGGCTAAACTGAATCATCGTTTTGAATTATTGGTAGTCAATGAAGGCAAAGATAATGTTTCCAGCTGGATATGTTGAGCTCCTACAGGTGAAACTCGAAAAATTAGAATATCGTGCAAAAGTTCATTTATTTCAGTAATGCAACTTAAAAGGTGAACCTAATATATGAGATAGACTCATTACATACAAAGCAAGATAATTCAAGCCGTGATGTGTCATAATTGAGATGATTATGGCTTACAGCTCATGAAAACCCCAAATCTACAATCTCAGAAAATTAGAATATTGTGAAAAGGTTCAATATTTTAGGCTCAAAGTGTCCCACTCTAATCAGCTAATTAAGCCATAACACCTGCAAAGGGTTCCTGAGCCTTTAAATGGTCTCTCAGTCTGGTTCAGTAGGAATCACAATCATGGGAAAGACTGCTGACCTGACAGTTGTGCAGAAAACCATGATTGACACCCTCCATAAGGAGGGAAAGGCTCAAAAGGTAATTGCAAAAGAAGTTGGATGTTCCCAAAGTGCTGTATCAAAGCACATTAATAGAAAGTTATGTGGAAGGGAAAAGTGTGGAAGAAAAAGGTGCACAAGCAGCAGGGATGACCACAGCCTGTAGAGGATTGTCAGGAAAAGGCCATTCAAAAGTGTTGGGGACTTTCACAAGGAGTGGACTGAGGCTGGAGTCAGTGCATCATGAGCCACCACACACAGACGGATCCTGGACATGGGCTTCAAATGTCGTATTCCTCTTGTCAAGCCACTCCTGAACAACAAACAACGTCAGAAGCATCTTACCTGGGCAAAGGAAAAACAGAACTGGTCTGTTGCTCAGTGGTCCAAAGTCCTCTTTGCTGATGAGAGCAACTTTTGCATCTCATTTGGAAACCAAGGACCCAGAGTCTGGAGGAAGAATGGAGAGGCACACACTGCAAGATGCTTGAAGTCCAGTGTGAAGTTTCCAGTCTGTGTTGATTTGGGGAGCCATGTCATCTGCTGGTGTTGGTCCACTGTGCTTCATTAAGTCCAGGGTCAACGCAGCAGTCTACCAGGAAATTTTGGAGCACTTCATGCTGCCTTCCACAGACGAGCTTTATGGGGACGCTGACTTCATTTTCCAGCAGGACTTGGCACCTGCCCACACTGCCAGAAGCACCAAAACCTGGTTCAATGACCGTGAGATTACTGTGCTTGATTGGCCAGCAAACTCCCCTGACCTGAACCCCATAGAGAATCTATGGGGCATTGCCAAGAGAAAGATGGGAGACATGAGACCGAACAATGCAGAAGAGCTGAAGGCCGCTATTGAAGCATCCTGGTCTTCCATAACCCTCAGCAGTGCCACAGGCTGATAGCTTCCATGCTATGCTGCACTGAGACAATAATTGCTGCAAAAGTGACCCAAACCAAGTACTGAGTACATATGCATGCTTATACTTTTCAGAGGTCTGATATTGTTCTATGTACAATTCTTGTTTTATTGATTGAATGTAATATTCTAATTTTCTGAGATTGTGGATTTGCGGTTTTCATGAGCTGTAAGCCATAATCATCACAATTATGACAATTCACGGCTTGCACTATCTTGCTTTGCATGTAATGAGTCTATCTAATATATTAGTTTCACCTTTTAAGTTGCATTACTGAAATAAAGGAACTTTTGCACGATATTCTAATTTTTCGAGTTTCACCTGTATTGTACACATAACTCAATGGAATGCAAGGATCCGCACTGGGAGTTTTTAAGAGATTGGACAACCATTTTTTTTTTTGAAATGGTACAGGGTTTTCTGCCTGAGTAGGGGGTTGGACCCTTCCAACCCTGTTATTCTTTTAATTGCCAGCTGATTAATTTATGCTGTGTTTCTAATTACTTGGTGTTCTTATCCAGTCATTGTTCTAGTCTCATTTATTCAGCTTCCCTTCGTTGTCTGTATTAAACTCAGAACTGCTTAAGACAAGATCCTATCTTTCTCACATATGTTAATCCTTAAAACGTCCTATGCATTGATGCCCTTGGATACATACAAATAAACAATAAAGCCGCATATTATTTCAGTCATATCCGTTTTAAAATCCACTCCCCTTGCCGATCAGATTTAAAATGTTTGCATGGATATGCTCGATTTTCATGGAAAGAGGTTCCAACTTTCTCTCTGTCTCTCTCCAAATATTTAATAATACCTGGAGGAATAATTTCAAGAATGAAGATCAGTCTGTTTGAAATAAAATCACATTTACTTCCTAGACTTTTCTTCCTATTTGAAGCATGTGTTAGTTCAAAGTTTCCCCCCCCCCCCATTGTGTGTGTTTAATATTGTTCAAGGGATCACTAATTTCATGTTACGGCATGCTCCTTCAAAAGACCCTTACTTAATTATATGGTTTAACAGCAGCTGCAGCAGTACTGAGAATATACATTTACAATTCCTTGTCAGTTTGTGGTCTTTTGAGAAATAGATGCACGGTCATTTTAAAGCCAGAAAAAAGAATGCATCTATTTTGAAAGCAATTGTCATAATTTAAGGACTTTTGTACATTACGGTTCAGTGGGCTTGGCTATGGAGCTTCACTTCCTGCTGCAAAGAGGTTAGCGGGCTGCTCTTTAATTTTAGACTCCTTCTACCATTCAACATTTTTCGGTAGTTGACCGGAGTGTAGGAGTACAGCTAATTCATAGTTGGGATATAGACTTGCAGAACATAGTGATGATTGTTTTGGCAAACTTGCTGTGTCCTTTTCTGGATTGCTCAAAGAGGAATGAGCAGTAGAGCACAAATCATGCCTTTCAATAGTTCTTTTGTGTGCTCTTGGTTTCAAAAAGGTGGTTCTTCCGATGTCCAAGATAACTGGATGAGAAATGTGTGACCCTGCTAAAATTCCTCTGTTTGTTAATATATATTTTATATATATATATATATATATTTTCTGAGGTTCTCGCGGGTATTTGTATGTGGATCTTTGGTTATTCGGGTTTTCTCCCGC